CCTCCATATTGTAGCCCACGTGAATCTTACCACTTTTTCTGTTCAATTGAAATGGGTCTACAGGATGTATAATCCTAGGAAACCTTTAGTTAGTGAGCATCATAGGTATGGATTAAAACTGTGAGGATAATTAGTTGACTCATACTCTTCAGGGAAGTCAATAAGACATTTGTAGCTGATTTATGTAGCTCCTGATAATCACAAGTTTAGAAATCACAATCAACTACTCCTACAGATATTTCCTCCTCTTTCTGAATCCATAAAATGCCTTCAATGACCATTCAATTTCCTGAGCACCCTCTTCCTCTAAAGCAGGGGTGGGGAACCTTTTTTCTGCCAAGGATATTTATAGCATCATTCGAGGGCCATACAAAATTATCAACTTAAAAAGTAGCCTGCTATATTTGGTCAAACATTCAATTAACTCACTCCTAATGCCTTGGCAGGGCTAGACCAAATGATTTCCCCACCTCGACATTCCTCACCCCTGCTAAAGGAAAGGGGGGAGATGAATTGTGAAAGATACAATTTACATTTTTTATGCTATAAAAGTTGCTGCCCAGTTGTGATGATAAAAATCCAGGTAATCAATGATTCTCAGAATTTTTACTCCGTAACAGTATATTGCTATACTTTGTTTAATGTTCCACTCTGCCTTTTTTTAGAAGAAAATTTCAACCTCAGAGAACATATTCAGGCATAAAAGTAAACATGCTTAAAAGCTAACCTGCCAAAACTCAAATTCTGACCTTCTAAAGACACTGCTGAGGGGGGGAAATCCTATATTGGTAACAAGGAACAATATAACCATGCAGTGCTCAGCATCAAGATATATTTTTAACAGTAAATGTTCACTTTTAAAATGATATTTTAACAATGCTTCGGTTATGCTTCAAATATGCCTACATATGACATTATCATGATAGTTGTATATTTTCAAACATGTTTGATGTAAAAACTGTAAATTTGTTTGATTTGCTAAATCCTTTCTAGAAACATTTTTCAAGGTTTCTGAAACACTGTAGTAAAAGAGAACTAAAATTTCTCATTAAGGAAAAGTATCTTTTGTGGGAACCTAAATTTAAACCTTCCACTTGAAGTCCTAAACATTTTCCACGTAGGAAAACTGTAAGTGTATATCTTAAGAGTTTCTAGAGCAATCAGCATAGGCAATGTTAAATTACCATGCCTCTCTAGACAAACAGAGGAGCACTGTACAGAGACCCTCACATTTGTGGCCCTGTGTATTCCCTGTGGGCAGTGCCAACCCACTCTCTCCCCGGTAATGACTCTTTGTTTTCACTAAATCCCAAAAGGCTGATGAGAGCTAGGCAAAGAGAAGGGGGGAGGGGCAGATGGAATGCAGCTGCAGGCTATGAAACAATGCTGAGTCCATATATTTTGTTCCCAGTTAGAATAAAAAGTGGACAGCGGTTGGGGTGGAGGGGACAAGGAGACAGAACCCAGAATAAGCAAGGTTGGGCCACATATCCCACAGTTGTCAGTCTGCAACTTCCTCCTCTTTCACCCCTCTATCTTCTACTCTATGAAATCCAATAACTATTCATTTGGGTTAAAAAGCTTATCTGCTAAAATTAAAATACCTATTAAAATTTAAACCTATCAGTCATTTATATCCAAATTACTTTTATCATAATTATACTCAGGTGAGGATGGAATAGGGAGAGAGAATGGAGCTTGCATAGATAAACTGGGGAAGCTGAGACAGACAAGCTTGGGGGAAGTAGTCGAATTCAGAAAAGGATGTACAAGGTTTCAAATATAAACTGCCTGCTTTGCAATGATGCCTACAGCCTGAGAGCAATTGGTAGGAAAACTATATTCCTTAAGACTGATAAAAGCTGCATATGTCTGCATGAATCAAGAGTTTGAAAGCCTGCACATATTGGTTCATCATTATTCAATCCAACCTGGTGTTCCCTAAGAAAATGTTATTCACTTGCATTGCCCTGGCATCCATGTTCTAACTGGGAGAGAGACTTAAGGGAGAAGCAGACCCAAAGTGGCAGCTGCTAGTGAGGGTCTTGCCCTCTCCTCCTTGACAAGCTCAGGGGAGGCCTGTATAGTAGGCCTTATAAATTCTGAGACCTAAAGTAATCACATAAGTTGGTCTGAAATAAAAAATTTCCATATAAAAGCAAGTCCTGGTGAGTAGTCATGATCTAGGCCAGCATCTTCCTTGACAAAGGTCAATCTTTACCTTAAATGAGCCTGTCTGTTATTATCTTTTTGCATCTAGGATAACATACCTTTGGAAAATCAGGGTTAATTTCCTTTTACCAAATCCTTCAGGGCACTATTTCCCACCAGAGCAGAAGACTACAGAGCCCCTCATTGTTATTGTTATTGTGTTAATTATTAACTATCCTATATCCACCTATGCAAAAGAAGTGTATGTCCATTCCTTTTACTTTTTTCCAAACCCAGAGATTTCGTGCTTTGTTTTCTCTAGTCTCCCTAATCACCAGCAAATTTCATGTAACCCATCTACATCTCCCCCTTTGAATCCGATGTATACAATAAGTGCTAAAGCTAGATGTGCTCTCCCTCCTGGGAGCATGCCCATGCCTTTCTTCCCTCTCAGGTGTGCATCTCCTAAACTCTAAGAGTACCCACAAGACTTACAATCAGGGGAGCAAAGGGCAGTGGCAGCTTGTCCTGGGCTATCCCACTAATCCTGTCTCCAAGGCCCTCTTTCCTCTGACTTCCCAATGAGCCAAGCAGCCCCACCTAGGCTCTCACCAGTTGCTTCTTCTATCCTAAACCCTTCACTGTCCCCAGGTTTAATAAACATACACTAAAAAAACACACACAACAAAACAAAACAAAAACCTGCCATTTTTCCGGAGCATTTTCTCAATCCATTGAGATTTTGCTTCCTGGCAAGTGTCCTCAGTTTGGCTCAAATAAACTCATAAAAATTCTTGCAGGTCTGGGTGTTTCTTGTGTCAACATAACCCTTTACTGTTTCTGTAGAGCCCTCCAGGGTACATGGACCCAGGCCTGCCTCTGGAACATCTCTTAAGATATAACTAATACCATTAAAAATTTCCAGAAATTTTTAAGAAGCCTTAAGTAAACAACTGAAATGAACACCTCAAAACAACAAAACAAACAAACAAAAGAAACAGAATCAGCATGTGCTAAAGACTACCTAAAAAGCTATAAAAATTCAGGAGAACCTTGTTCCAATTACAATCCCATTCATGAACACTTGGTAACTTGGGAGAAAAAAAAAAAAGGATGTTCTTATAAAGCTATCATGTAAAGCTCTGAAATCTATACACAAACATCTCTTTCAAGTTAGCATTACACAAAATTTAAAAGTACTCTTACTTGGTGTTGAATGATATAACTAATCTCGACTCTTGAAATGTTTTCAACTTAAAAAGTTTAGAAAGATTGGATTTATTTACATTGAACTTTGCATTTTGTGACATGATAAAAGTCGTAAGTATGTAGATTTATAGTAAGCAGAAATATAATCTCCCTGCCTCCCCAACTTGCCTTTTCTCTATAGGCTAACTCTATTTACAGATATTCCAACTCTCCATACTATACTATACAGAGACAAATTCAGAAATGCATGTTAATTTAGATGAAGGAATGACTGTGTCTATTTATTTAATATTAAATAGTAATAGTAATAAATAATACTGACAGTACTGTAAAGTCTATCATCTATTATAAACAGAAAATTCATAGGTGCATTTTATTAGGAGTTATCATTTATTATGTTTTTAAATGTGCAATAAAATAGAACTCGTTGTTTATTCTGTGGTACTGGAAAAACTCAATTTTCTATCTATACATTTAATTTCCTAGTATGTACAATCAAAGAAATTAAATAGAATAGTTGTTAATAAAAACAATATCACATAATCAGAATTTGCCTGAAATTAATAACTCTTTATAACTTAACTAGAGGCCCGGTGCACGAAATTCGTGCATGGGGTGGGGGTTGTCCCTTAGCCCAGCCTGCACCCTCTCCAATCTGGGACCCCTCTTACAATCCAGGACTGCTGGCTCCCAACTGCTCGCCTGCCTGCCTGCCTGATTGCCCCTAACTGCTTCTGCCTGCCAGCCTGATCACCCCCTAACCACTCCCCTGCCAGCCTGATCGACGCCTAACTGCTCCCCTGCTGGCCTGGTCACCCCCAACTGCCCTCCCTGCAGGCCTGCTTTCCCCTAACTGTCCTCCCTTGCCAGCCCGGTCACCCCTAACTGCCCTTCCCTGCCAGCCTGGTCACCCCCAACTGCCCTCCCCTGCCAGCCTGGTCACCCCCAACTGCCCTCCCCTGCCAGCCTGGTCACCACCAACTGCCCTCCCTGCAGGCCTGGTCATCCCCAACTGCCCTCCCTGCTAGCCTGGTCGCCCCTAACTGTCCTCCCCTGCAGGCCTGGTTCCCCAACTGCCCTCCCCTACAGGCCTGGTCCCCCCCAACTGCCCTCCTCTGCCAGCCTGGTCACCCCTAACTGACCTCCCCTTTAGGCTTGATCTCCCCCAACTGCCCTCCCTTGCAGGCCTGGCCCCTCCCAACTGTCCTCCCCTGCTGGCCTGATCCCCCACAACTGCCCTCCCCTGCTGGCCATCTTATGGTGGCCATCTTTGACCACATGGGGGCGGCCATCTTGTGTGTTGGAGTGATGGTCAATTTGCATATTACCTCTTTATTATATAGGATTGTGGTAAACAAGACATTCTCATTATACTTTGAATATGTTACATTGCAATAAAATGGTTAAAAAATGCAATTACCCATGATTTGCAAAAATCTACTCAATAAGTATATCTTAACTATTTTTTAACTAAAAAGAAGATAATTCAAGTGTTGTAGAGGTGTCAGAAATTTACATTTAGTCACAAAGTTCATAAAATATGAGTACATTAAGAGGCACAGGTGAAAACAAATTTTAAGACTTAGGTAAAACAATGTATGAAAATAATAGCTTTTCTTGCTAAATCAATGAGTACTCACCCCTTGGAGCCCTTGGAACTGAATTGAAGGTCGAAAAGGAATTAAGTTCTGTTAAAAGAAACATAAGAAACAAACAGGTCAAACTTGATTACTGTGACACAGAATTAAACGTTTAAACTTTAAATCTGTGCATTTGGTCAGTGGTATAGTCTGTGAAAATACCTTTTCATCATGTACTTAGGTTTACACGTCATTTTATTAAGATGCATTGATGAACAGTAGCACACTATTGACATTTCTCTGAATAACACAACCAAAGGTATCTTTTGGCAGTATAGCTGATCAGGTTTTTTTAAATGACTGATACAATTTGGTAAAAATATGATTAGTATACAAATTCAATTTTACTAGTACATTGAAAAATCATACTCTGGCTTAGTTTCTTCATACTTTTTAAAATATATTTTTATTGATTTCAGAGAGGAAGGGAGAGGGAGAGAGAGATAGAAATATCAATGATGAGAGAGAATCACTGATTGGCTGCCTCCTGCATGTCCTCTACTGGGGATCAAGCCTGCAACCCCAGGCATGTGCCCATGACCAGAATAGAACCTGAAACATTTCAGTCTGCAGGCCAACACTCTATCCACTGAGCCAAACTGACTAGGGCTCTTCATATGTTTTAAAAGTGGTGGAGATAGGAAAGATATTTGGAGGAACTTTCCAAAACCCTAATAGAACATTAGAAATATAAAATTTAAAAAAATACTTAAAAATTAAAAGAAATATAAAATTGAAGTATTTGAGATTGAATGATTGTTTCTATTTTCTCACATTTTACCAGAGATTAGTTTTTAATTAAGGGTCAAACAGGTTACCAATTTTCTCACAAGATGCTCACTAGGAGAATATTATAATTTCTACAACAATATTATGTTTTGTAATGAATTCTCATAGCTTTAATATTTTAAGAAAAGCTGTAATTATAAATATCTACCATAGTCTCAGGCATGATATCCTATATCTACAGTCACCAGAATGATTTTTATGGGAATGCTTTTCTAAATTGTTAACAGAAATTCACAAGGAAATCAGATATGAGTAACATTTAATAATAACATATCAAACTGTAAACTATTCTTCATATCCTTATATCCAAATACAATACACAAAAACAGAAACAGTGGTTTCTGGTTTCATCTTGATCTCCAATAAAAATAGAGCCAGGCACCCATGTGCCCCTCCCTTCAACCACTGTACATTACCTGCAGATTTAAAAGTTTATTAATCAGTATTACAATAAACTAAAGAGTTAGATGAAAGGGTGAGTACTTCTTAAAAGATAGATTATTTAAATATAAAAGCACATGGTAGCATTAACTATTCTATTATTATTTTATACTAGAAGCCTGGTGCACAAAATTTGTGCATAGGGAGGGTCCCTAGGCCTGGCTGGCGATCAAGGCTGATCTGTGGGGCGACCGGCAGGGCAATCAGGGTCCCCGCTCACACCCGCCTTGGCCTGGTGCTGTCTGCTTTCCAGCCCCGCCTCCCCATCGCGGTTGCTGATCGCTGTCTGTGGGGTGACCGGTGGGCCGATTAGGGCCCCCACTCACACCCGCCTTGGCCTGGCTCCACCCGCTCACCTGCTCCACCATCCCGCTGCAGTCCCACTCTTATTGGGGCCCATTGGGTCCAGCAGTGCCTCCACTGCCACCTGCTGCCAGCACCGCATTGCTGATGCCTGCCATGTTCCACGCTGCCACCTGGTGGTTAGCGCACATCTAACTCCTGGTCAGTCGAACTCCCACCCATGGGAACAATTTGCATATTAGCCTTTTATTATATAGGATAAATGGATAAACATCTTGGAAAAAAACATTATAATAGATACTATTATCATTGTTTTACTACCTTAAAATGATCACTAAACTCTAGACTTATCAGCAGGCTCAAAGTAATACTTGTAACAAATTCATTTTTTAGTGTGTGAGAAGTGGGTTGTTGTTTTTTTTTTTTTAAAGGGAAGATAAAAAGATAATGATTGAAATTGTAAAATGATTTTTAATAGTGATTCCTTTTAAGTCATAGTCTTTTATGAATATACAAATTATAGATTAATGCTAGAATTTCCTTAGAGAAAGAAAACCCTACCCAAACCTACCTTTCAGACCTAAACTTCTTCCTGAACTAATAGCAATAAGCCTGGAGAAGCCTAAAGAAGTCTTTCTTCTGTAGAAGCTGCCCTACAATTTGGGTAACACAGGTCTAGGCTCAAGTTTTCACAATATTTCCATCAGTCCTACCTCCTGGCTCTCCTTTCAAATCACAAACATTGAACATTTCTGAGGCTGGTTACATTTTCCTCCCTTACTCAATGACAGAAAAACTGGCAAACACTAAACCACCCCACTTCAACCCCCCAAGTTGGCACCTCTTTCCTACTTTTTTATCAAGGGTACTTCTATCTTTTTAGTTCTCTGGGATCACAACCTTAAATTTATAGTCTTCTCTCTCTTCACCCCCACCATATTCTATCAGTCAATTGTAGGCCACTAGAATCGCATAATTCTGATCCAGGGATAATATAGTTAACTAGAGGCCCAGTGCACGAAATTCATGCGGGGGGTGGGGGGTGTGGTGTGTGTCCCTCAGCCCAGCCTGCACCCTCTCCCACCGGGATGGGGCCTAAATGGGCAGTCAGACATTCCTTTCACAATCCAGGAGTGCTGGCTCCCAACCGCTCGCCTGCCTGCCTGCCTGATTGCCCCTAAAAGCTTCTGCCTGCCAGCTTGATCACTCCCTAACCATTCCTCAGCCAGCCTGATTAACGCCTAATTGCTCCCCTGCCAGCCTGATTGCCTCTAACTGCCCTCCCCTGCATGCCTGGTCACCCCCAACTGCCCTCCCCTGCTGGCCTGGCCAACCCCAACTGCCCTCCCCTGCTGGCCTGGTCACCCCCAACTGCCCTCCCCTGCTGGCCTGGTCAACCCCAACTGCCCTCCCCTGCTGGCCTGGTCACCCCCAACTGCCCTCCCCTGCTGGCCTGGTCACCCCCAACTGCCCTCCCCTGCTGGCCTGGTCACCCCCAACTGCCCTCCCCTGCTGGCCTGGTCACCCCCAACTGCCCTCCCCTGCTGGCCTGGTCACCCCCAACTGCCCTCCCCTGCCAGCCTGGTCCCCCCCCCAACTGCCCTCCCCTGCAAGCCTTGTCCCTCCCCTGCAGGCCTGGTCACCCCCAACTGTCCTCCTCTGCCGGCCTGGTCACCCCTAACTGCCCTCTCTTTCAGGCCTGGTCTCTCCCAACTGCCCTCCTCTGCTGGCCTGATCACCCACAACTGCTCTCCCCTGCCGGCCATCTTGTGTCCACATGGGGGTGGCCATCTTGTGTATTGGAGTGATGGTCAATTTGCATATTTCCTTTTTATTCGATAGGATGCCCATCCCCCTTAGGCAATGTGTCCCATTACTAACTAAGCTGGGACCAGAACTCAGGACTCAATCCTCCTATTTTGTCATGCTGCGTTTCTTCTACTACCTGGTGTTCCACACACATCTGCTATGGGAAATTCAAGAGTGTGGGGGCCTATTCCTTCATGCCAGACAGTTCACATTTTAGTTAGGGAATATTAGAGAATGATTAAATACTAGGCTAAGTACTACCAGGAGGTGTAGTAAGGACTCTCAAAAAGGGAAGAAGATTATAGGTTATAAGATATACTAGAAAAGCCAAAGATCTTGTGGAAAGGGTGGATCTTGGGTAGCAATTTAGAAAATACTAACTCCAGGGAGAAGTGCTCTGCCTGAACAGAAAAGCAAGGAGACAGGAATGAATACTATGTGGGCAAAGGGCAAATGTCTCTCTGTGTAGAGTTCTTTCATACTTGAAACACTACACAAAGGGTAAGAATTGGACCTGGAAATCCCTGTCTAATATTTCCTTGGGTTGAAAATTTGTCTTCAGTTTTGCTTCTATCCACTACAGAATAAATAGGACAATCAGTAATTTAAATTTCAGACCTCTGGGATTTCAAAAGATTTATCACCCTGTGAAATAACCCCACCCTAATCCTTCCCATTACCCTCTCAGGTAGGGCCTTAGACCTGACAACTAATTGGAGACTCATCTAAGTTTTGGAACAAGAGAGGGAGTTGCTGAAAGAAGTGTTTCAGGGAAAGTAGTCCCTTCAGTCATGTGTACGAAAGATGGAGATGGACGGATTGGGGCTAGGATAAAGGATTAGCTCCAGGGGATTCTTTATTTGGAGATACTCTGGTGAGAAAGGCCTAAGTTAGTATTACTTCATCTGGAACAAGCATTCCGATGGAAGAAAGATAAAATGTGCTAAAAGCTTGACTACCAGGCACCAAAGAAAAATGAAGTGAAGGTGGTTCCAGAGGTCCCAATCATCATCTCTGGTCAGTTAGCTCCAAACTTCCTCAAATTAAGCTTAGTCTCAGCTTTAGAAGCCTCTGTCTATTTCAAGCCCCTATCACCAAGTACTTAGATCAGGGGTGGTGAACCTTTTTTCTGTCAAGGGCCATTTGGATATTTATAAAATCATTCGCAGGCCATGCAAAATTACCAACTTAAAAATTAGCCTGCTATATTTGGTCAAATATTTAATTAACTCACCCCTAATGCCTAGGTAGGACCAGACCAAATGATTTCAAGGAGCCGGACGTTTCCTACCCTTGATCTAGATCAGTGGTTCTCAACCTTCCTAATGCCGTGACCCTTTAATACAGTTCCTCATGTTGTGGTGACCCCCAACCATAAAATTATTTTCATTGCTACTTCATAACTGTAATTTTGCTACTGTTATGAATTGTAATGTAAATATCTGATATGCCATATGTGTTTTCCAATGGTCGCGAGCCACAGGTTGAGAACTGCTGATCTAGATAAAGGCCTTCCTCCCTACTTTCAATTCCTTCCAAATTCAAATAGCTAGCAGAAGCTCTCTCAGACACCACTCTCAGCATGTGGCACAGCCTGCAATGGGTTCCATCAAGGCAAAGCAAACTCCTCCACATAGAAAACAGACCTGCCGCCATCTACAGGATCAACCAATTTCATACTACACTTCCTCTAAACCAGGGGTGGG